GCTCTCACCCCGAGTCGATTCTGTTCAGCGCCGCTTCATGGGATCGACGTCGAGACTTGCGAGTTCAGCTTCAAGACGGGTTTCAACCTCTTGGACGCTGCTGACCGCCTCTCGCAACTGGTGGCTGCACTTGTCACAGGTGGGGAGTGAGAATGGTCACGACTCGAGATCGAGGCACCGGATGAAGAAACGGGTTCCTGTTTCGTGTTCACTCGATCAGAGCAGCCGCCGCGACGGTCCGCTCAATGCCGAAACTTCATAGAAAGAAAACCGGGATCTGTTAAGCCCTCACCTGCGGCTGCTGCAAAGAACGAGTACGTCGAATCCGCCGTGAGTGACGAAGGGGCGGCAGCCCTAGCGGTGGAGATGGCGACACGTCTCCCTGATGGTGGTGCCACGCAGCTCTGCCACGTGTCACTTCCTGGTCGTCGTCTCGTGAGCGCGAGCGCGGTGCATCCTACCAGACAGGATTTGATCGGTTACGTACTGACATTTCTTGGCTGAACCAAGTCTTGTGGACTTGTAACATTCAAAACGGCTGCAGCATAGTCACCTTCAATGCAATCGCACAACGGTGCAACTTCATCGAAGCTTCCACCAACCGGTTAAGAGCAACAAGCGTAGATGAAAGCGACTCTTCTGCGCCCTTTATTGCTTCTTTGGACGACATCGGTCCTTCACAGCAGATCAGACCAATGCCACGTGATTGTCGGCGCATACTTCATGTGATGCAATGTTCCAGCTCCGACCGACACTCACCTCTTGTGCAAGCAGTCCATATTCTCGTTGATCTGGTACTTGACTTGTGATCGGTTCCGCAGCTCCACTAGGGCCGTTTCCGCCGGGCACCATTGGGGACGCTTCGCGCGGGGACCCCATGACGCGCGGCCCTCGGCGCGAAGGGTCGAGGAGCCCTGGTCAGTGAAAAACCGGAGGGGGTTTAGATACTCTCGCCTGCTGGATGTTGTGAGACGATCGAGCCACTTGCAACTGCTAGTAGTGACGGAGAAACGAGCAGTTCGACGGCCTCGCTAGAATTCTCCTTAAAAATCGGAAGACCTTGCTAGCTCGGCGGTCGATTTGCCAAGCAAAACGAGATGGAACCGCAGCTTCTCATATACGGTGATGGAGGCGGCTTGTCGAACGAAGCCAGGCTGGCAACTAATCGGCGAATCGGGCCGTACAACGCGACAGTGCTGGGTATAAGGGACACCTCAACGAATCCGCAAGAAGGGGTGATTTGAATAGAGAGAACGAGAGGAAAGCTAAGGCGTCGAACACCACGACCTATCGTTTGTAAGATTGTGACGGGCGCTTGCTTTACCTGGGTTGCAACCTATAGCAGAGTCGGATGGGGCTCGATCGCTGCTGTCCCTGTCTTCGTCCTCTTCATCAGTGTCGTAACCATTAATGAGAGGAGGAAGATCACTGTCGCTGCCTCCTTCTTGTTCGTCATCCTTCTTCGACCGCATCCTCTTGCGGAACCTGCTGATCTCATACAAGGGACCTTCCCGCTTCTCCTTCGCCATACACTTCTCCGGTTCTGAGGGCCTCACGCCTTCCCGCTGTGGTCGATTACTCGCTGCCGGCACGCATTCTGCCCCCCAAACAGGCACACCGGCCGAGCCATGAGCGTCTCCCCCAAAGCGACCGTCAGCCTGTACTGACACCTGTTGCTCGCGTAGTTTCCCCCGCTGTGCCCGTTTGGCGTGCCTGTTCATCTTCCGGCGGTGTTTTGACGCCGCCACCTCGTCCCCGGTGCGAAGCCTCGCTAAAAGCGTTGTGACGCGTTCGAGTCGCGCTCTGGCCCCACACGCTCGAAACCGTTTCTAAAGTCTCAGAAGCGCACCGTTCCTCGCCACGCGGTCCCTCTCTTTCCGTTCGGCCCGCTTTTGCCGTCTCACGCGACGCCGTCTCTCGTCTCGAATCTTCTTTTTGAGCGCCCTCGCCACGTGCGATCTCCTTTTCCTTTCCGCTGCACAGGCCGTGCAAGTCCGTCTGCAAACAATGCCCTGCATGCTGCCGCAATCCCCTGCCGTCTGTCCTCTCTGACTTCCTTCCCCACCTCCACTCTCTTTTCCCCTCCCGCCCACCTCGGCTGTCTTGTCCAGCGCCGGCTGGTGGCGCTGATGCTCCGTTGCGCCTGCCACACAGAAGCAATAAACAACCTTAGGTACGCGGCCTGTGAGATTACTAACCGTGTTCGATTGTCAACTCGCCCGATGAGCGGCGCCGACTCGTTTTTACCAAGGGACTGGATGACGGTGTGAAGAGAGAATGGAACGAGCGGATCAAGGGACAAGCAGCCAAAGTAGGCAGAGAAGTACTACCGAAGCAGGGGACGCAGAAAGCACTGACGGAAGTAACAAGTCGTTCTTTCTGGAAATTGAAAAGAAAAAGGATCAGAAGTGCATTTGCACTTAATTTAGCGACGAGGAGAAGCCTGACACTGCCGCCAAAACTCCTTTGAGACTTTCACGTACCCTTTTCCATGACAAGAACTGAAACGGCACCAGCACTCAAAGCAGACGCCTCAGCAGAGAGTCTTCTCAAAGACAGGTTCCCATCGCGAAGGGCAATCAAACACTCTCCGACGAGAAAAGAAAAAAGTGTCCGAGCTGCTAGGCTCGACTGTTCGAGCGTGCGAAGAGGCTTGGTGTAATAGTCCGTAAGAGAGTGTGCGAGAAAGCACGCAGAGTCGCGACGCGAGGCAAGCGGCGAAACCGAGAGCGTGAAACGAGAAGCGCAACCAGTCTCACCGCTGGCGCTGCTGCTGCCATCCGTTGCCTTCCGCTTGCGCCGCCGTCTGCTCGGACACCCATCTGGTCGGCTATCGTTTGCAGCCATGCCCTCCTCTTGATCGCCTCCTGCAGACCAATGGGATGATTACTGTAGGTCCAGCACAAATGCACCACTCCCCGTGTTTCAAAATGCTGGACCGGTGTGAATTCAAACAGCAACTTCGACGGATTTTCACGTGACCCTCTGGAATCACGTCGAATGTGGAGCAAATGCTCAGCATCAAACAAGGCGATTGCCGACAGACGCTACAGTACTCTCCGACCTCTTTCTCGATCCAGAGGCACACAAGTCATCAGCCCGAGTGATAACGCCTCAAATCTCCGGCTTTCAGAGCAAGGAACAGGAGGCGGACAACAGCGTCAAACAACTACAGACCATTCAATCTGTCAAATATTGTAGAAGAAAACCCTTGGAGACCGACGGGCTTCCAAGTTGGAGCACCGTCTAAGTTGACTTTGAACCTGATGACCACGAACTATCAGCCAAGTATGTCAAATTCAAGTCCTACGATCGAACCTCTCCTAAGTACAGACAAGAAAGGCGCAAATTTCGATGAGGCAACGAGCATCTCACCTTTAGTGTTCCGTTCCGTTTTTCTTCCGGTTCCTGCGTCCGCCGCCCACCCTTTGCCTGCCTCGGCCGCTCCTGCCCCGCCGAGTTTCGCTGCCGAGTTCCTTCCGCAATCCGTTGCCCTTCTGCTTCCACCGTCCTCATCTCCTCCTCTCCGGGCTTCCTCCTTCTCTCCTTCTCTTGGTAGCTGAGTCCCTCCTCCACCACCATTCTTGGTGAGCCCTCCTTCCGCTTGTGCTTCCGTCACCCCCTTTCCGTCCGGGTCCCCTCGTCCTCCTCCTTCTGTTTCACTCTCTCCCCGCGCTTCCTTCTTGGCTGCAGTCTGCAGCGACATACACCTGAGGTTAGAATTTGCTGGTAAGGTGCACAAGACGCATTTTTTTGGTCACTTTACCACGAGCACAGGCCTCGGAGCAGATGTCCCTGCCATTCCACTCGAACGACTTGATGCCGTCCGAAGCTTCCCGAGACGCTTACAATGTGTGACTTATCCACCACGCGAGAGTGACACTTCCAGGCCGCTTCAAATGTTCGTGCGACTCTCAAGATTTTCCCTTACGTGAATGTCCGACTCAAAGCTGATTGCCACAGCACTGAAGCAGACAATCAGCAGATGTCGAGGTGACGACCGGCTTCGGGAATTTCGGTTGTTGTAGTTCATTGCTTGCCTGCGATTCAACGCTTGACCATCGAAGTAGCGAAGCTTCTATCAAAGGTTCTATAATCCATCCAGACAGACCCCTGCAGCAGCAAGGTTGACAGCATTGATTCTTCTTACTTCTTCTGTCTCCGCTCCCGTGCTCTTTCCATCACCACCATCCGTTCCGTCTCTCGATTTCTGACATGCTCGGCCTCGGCTGTCAGCCACTTCGATTCCTCCGCTTCCTGAGTAGGTAACATAGAGGAGGGGTCAAAGAGACTTCGAAGCGGAAATGAAAGGGTATCTGCTTGAAAAGGTATCAGCATCAAATGATCGCAATTGATGATCATTCAGAATGTTAGGAGGTGAAAAGTTTGAGGACCGCACCAAAGTAGCTGCAAACGATCCAGGTGCGCTTGTCAATCCTCTAGCACAGAAAGACCCATTTGGAAAGACACTGCAAGCACTGCCGCAAATACCCCAGGCAAACTCGCTTAAATAGTCGAAAACGGTGGTTCGAAAGCAGGGGAAGTGGTCGTATCCAAAGCAGGAAAGCTGGTGAATCTGACAAGACACGTGGCGGCCTGACTCAGCAAATCCCATCATTGGGAAAAAGTATGAATTCTCAAGGCCTATCAAGTCGAGACCCAACCTACCAGCCGGCAGCCCTCCTTACCTGGGCACTGCTTGGGGCAGACAGCATAGAATGGAACAGAGGAAATCTGTCCAAACATGCAGGCTTGCCCAAACAGTGCCAATAAATAATTACTCTATGATGTCTGACAGGGCCTCCGTGTCTTCAGGGGGTCCCCCTCAGGCTTGTGGCCTTCTTCAAGGTGCTAAAATGTTCATATGTGCACACTTGCATATGCAATTGAAGTACTTTGGGCGCGAGCATATAGTGCTAAGTGTCTGGCAGGTGCTCCAAACTCTTGATATCAACGAACTCCCTTCTACATCTTGTCCCCAGGCCCAACATGAACTCGGAGAAATAAGTCCAGCAGGCAACCCAAAGTCAAACCCTAAACTTCTCAGGGGAGGGCGGATTGAGAGTCTCAACGTCCTGCACATTGATGAAGCTATCTGATCACCTCCGTTGAGGACCCGAAGTAGTCTCAAAGAAGTAGTCTCTCTCGTCATGTGTGCATCTCACCTCTGTCATCTGCCCCGCACTGTCGCCTCTGCTCTCTCGCCGCCGACTCTGGCATTTGAGGAAGCTACCGCCACTGGCCTTCCCTCCACCACGTTCCACAATACTAAGCTGGACAATCAAGCTTCCTGGAGACCTCCGCTTTGTCTGCCGGCTTATCCGCCCACCGCCACAAACCCCTGTCCTCAGATGCACAGTACTGCCCTTCCGCCAAGTGCTCGGTTGCTCAGGCTCATGCTGGACCAGAGCGCATCGTGCGCATCGAATAAATATGAGCTGCCGGACGCTGAGTGTGACACCTATTGTGACCACCTGACATCTTCTTTGACGGAAGCTAGGGTTCTGTTGCAGTTTTCCAGATTGACATTGACCTTCAGTTGTATCATCAACCCTCTTCTTCTTACCCGCAGCCTCCCTCTTCTGGCCTGTCTTGGCCCCGCCCTTTTTTCTGGAGCTTGCTTCCGCCTATATGTAACCCCCCGTTCCACCCTTTGCCTGCCTTGCGCCGTCATCCATTGCTGTGCCCTTGCCCTGAGTGTAACGGTACGGAAGCCGACC